CAATAGCAGACGTGCTTAAAATTTATCAGGCCCCTTTCAATGAGCTCACCATGGACCAAGATACCTTGCTTTGTAATCTCAAATATTCCTATCTCCATTCCCAATTTCTCTTCTGGACAAACCCAGACTCATGCAGCTTCATCTGCCCTAACCCTCCCCTCCACCTGAGCTCCAGCTGCACCTGGTTATGAAGCTGCTGTCAGGGTCACTGGATGGGGATTAGAGGTCTCAAGTTGCAAATTGTTCAGAATATACTTAGTGGTCTAATAAGGTGAAGTTATTATTTGAGGACCTCACTCTACTGCACATAAAGTTAAACATTTTTTTATTGATTTCAAGAGGAAGGGAGAGAGACAAAACATCAATGATGGGAATCATTCATTGGCTGCCTCCTGAATGGCCTCAACTGAGGATCAAGCTCACAACCCCAGGTTGTGCGCTGACCGGAATTGAACTGTGACTTCCTGTTTCATAGGGCAAGCACTGAGCTACACCAGCCAGGGTAGAATCCAATTTTTCACAATTGAATACTCCATACTTCCTTCGAAAAGTATGCAAAATACCGACCCAAACAAATTTTTGATGGGAAAGTTTTGCTGAAAACATGCTCAACTTTCCCACTAAGAAAGGTTAAAGAAGTGAACTGTCATGCAGGAATCCTTCTGATACAAAGACAGCTGGCTCAAGGGTTTTACCTTTAATTGTAGTGACAGCCCATCCCTTAGGACAGCCTCTGGACAAAAAAGAGCTAATGCCCCTGGAAGGAGAATTCAACTAAGGGAGACTAACCCTAACCCTAACAACCCTAACCTTGCACACCCAGGATTTCCTTGAAGACCGAGCCCCAATTACTCATGGCAGTGCCTGCTCATTGCATACCTGCACCTGACCGGCCTCCTCCATCTGGTGCTTTGAGGGTCAGCCTCAAAGAAATCTAAGACAGTCAGCAATAGCTTCTGGAACCCTCTTCGTCACACAGTCTTGATTTATTTTTAAAATTAGTATCATAGCCCTACCTGGTTTGGCTCAGTGAATGTCGGCCTGTGGACTGTAGTGTCCGAGGTTTGATTCCAGTCAAGGGCACAATCAATAAAAGTTTAAATACACTTTTATTGATTAAATATGTTTTTATTGATTTCAGAGAGGAAGGGAGAAAGAGATAGAAACATCAACGATAAGAGAGATTCATGGGTTGGCTGCCTCTTGCAGGGCCCCCTACTGGGGATGAGCCTGAAACCTGGGTATGTGCCCTTGACAGGAATCAAACCCCAGACCCTCCAGTCCGCAGGTTGACACTCTATCCACTGAGCCAAACCAGCTAGGGCAAAAAAGGTTAATAATAATAATAATAATAATAATAATAATAATAATAATATCATAGCAACAAAGTGATTTGACAGTGGGGGGAAAAGTCCTATCTCTGGCATTTTGCAAAACAGCATGTTAATTTTGTCATATCAATTTGGACTGATGACTAAATTAGGCAAAGCAATAGCCTAACAAATAATCACAACAGTATAGCCCAGCTGGCATAGTTCAGTGGTTGAGCATCGATCTATAAATCAAGAAGTCATAGTTCTATTCCCAGACAGGGCACAGGCCCAGGTTGTGGGTTCAGTCCCCAGTGTGGGGCATGCAGGAGGCAGCTGATCAATGATTCTCTCTCATCATTGATGTTTCTACCTCTCCTCCCTTCCTCTCTGAAATCAATAAAAAATATATTTTAGCCGAAACCGGTTTGGCTCATTGGATAAAGCGTCAGCCTGCGGACTGAAAGGTCCCAGGTTCGATTCCGGTCAAGGGCACGTACCTTGGTTGCAGGCACATCCCCAGTGCGGGGGGTGCAAGAGGCTGCTGGTCAATGTTTCTCTCTCATCAAGGTTTCTAACTCTCTATCCCTCTCAATTCCTGTGTAAAATCAATTTTATATATATATATATATATATATATATATATATATATACACATACATATATATATTTTTTTTTTTTAAAGAACAGGATAATGTTACACAGCTTCATCACAGGACTGATCACCATTCAGTCTATCCACTTTCCAAAATCATGGTCTGCACATAAACCAGATAGAGGTTAATTCAAAGGTTCCTGTAATATGGAAAAACACTAACTTCAGTGAAAGACAACTGGAAGTACATTAACATCATCATAAATGTTTTGTTTGAAAGCTGCTGAAAGTCAATAAGTTGTCATCACAAGAAAAAAGACTCTGGCCCTAGCCGGTTTGGCTCAGTGGATAAGAGCATTGGCCTGCAGACTGAAGGGTCCTGGGTTCGATTCCAGTTGAAGGCACATGCACAGGGGGCATGCAGGAGGTGGCCGATTGGTGATTCATCACTGATGTTTCTATCTCTCCCTCTCCCTTCCTCTTTGAATTCAATTAAAAAAAATGTTTATAGAACAAAAAAAGACTAACTGTTGATATTGACTTACTGTGCAATATATACAAATATTGAATCATTAAATTGTACACTTAAAACTGATGTACTAGTATGTCAATTATACCTCAAAAAAATAAAAAATTTAAACAGAAAACACATTTATGAGTATATCAGAGTGAAGAATTATCTGTATTGATTTAAGAACTACAAGTTATTTATTTTTTTAAAATATATTTTATTGATTTTACACAGAGAGGAATTGAGAGGGATAGAGAGTTAGAAACGTCGATGAGAGAGAAACATTAACCAGCTGCCTCCTGCACACCTCCCACTGGGGATGTGCCCGCAACCAATGTACATGCCCTTGACCGGAATCGAACCCCGGACCCTTCAGTCCCCAGGCCGACGCTCTTCCACTGAGCCAAACCGGCTTCGGCTACAAGTTATTTTTAATTATTTTCTGAGGCTCTAATTGTATATATGTTTATTTAGGGAACATGTGTTTGTCTCAATGAGGAGATTAACACATGACTTAAGAGTTTCAGAAGTTATAATCAGGCCAGGATATACTGCCTCTGCTGGGTGAGGGCAGAGGGTCAGAGTTTTGTTCCCAGCATCAAGCACACAGGTTGCCTGGTTTGGTCCGACTGCTCTAGGGACCATGTACTGTTGAAGCCTCTTCACCTTTAGAATCCTCTTTTTAATGATGGAGAATCATTGATTCACTAGTCCCTACATACCCCCCACCCCCCTTCTAGATTGAGCCAGAAACCTGGGCATGTGCCCTGATTGGGAACTGAACCATGACCACCTGGTTCATAGGTCAACAGTCAACCACTGAGCAACAAGGGCTGGGCTAGGGTCCTCTTTAAAGGAGGTGTGAGCCCTGGCCGGTGCTCTCAGTGGTTAGAGTATCATCCCATGCAATGAAGGGTCTCAGGTTTGATTCCCGGTCAAGTGCATGTACCTGGGTTATAGGTTCCATCCCCAGCCCTGGGTGGGGCTCATTTGGGAGGTAATCAATGTTTTTCTCTCCCTAACCTACTTGCTCGCCATCCACTCTCTCTAAAAATCAATGGGAAAAAATATCGTGAGGTGAGAACAAAGAATAAATAAAATAAAGGAGGTGTGAACATCGTCTAAGTGAGATAGTTGAGGTATAAGTATTGGCACTCTTCTCAAATGCCATATCTCATGATAGGGAGGTAACATAATTTGACCAGAGGGCCAAAGTCTTCAAACTATTAATCATAGCCCAAAGCACCCCCTGCCCACTGGCTGAGGGGCCATGAACTCATTCATATCAGCAAGTGCTGGGAAACCAGCTACACCTGCCCCCTCCTATAGCCCATTCATGCCATTTACATCCTGTTTCTCACTGAGCATCTTCTGGGCTCAGCAAATGATTTTCCAAAGGAAATACAGATTCATTTTAATGGATAAAATACAAGGGATGAGCTTGTCAGTATCCACCTTTATACGTTACAAAGGATACTACCCTCAGGCAAAGATACTAGACTATATGCAGATCTCTGGAAATGAATTAGGGAAACTGGAGCAAAGGCAAGTGTCACCCTAGCCAGTTTGGCTCAGTGGATAGAGTGTTGGCCTGTGGACTGAAGGGTCCTGGGTTAGGTTCTGGTCAAGGGCACATGCTCAGGTTGTGGGCTCGGTCTCCAGGGGGGCGTGCAAGAGGTAGCCAATCAATGATTCTCTTGTCATTGATGTTTCTATTTTCCCCTTCCTCTGTGAAATCAATAATATATATGTTAAAAAAAAAGAAAAAGTTTAAAAAGCTTGTGTGCCCCCCTGCCCCGGTGTGTAATCACACCTATATTTGCCCACCTATAGCTCAGCAGGCATTTCCTCGGCACAGTGTGGGAACAGCAACAGAACCACCATTCTGTCAGAAGTACCCGTAATCGGGGAAGTGATGAGAGCAGAAGTAGGAGCACCTGAGTGTGTGTTGCACACCTCCAGGGAGATGGGAGCTGAGTGCACTTTTCTATCTTGCGTGCTGAGGTGTCCTTGTCCCCTTATCCCAGATTCCTACAAAAGGGGCTCTTCAACTGCTAAAATTATAACTTGTAAACACACAACCCTGTGTCCAGGACAAACCCAGCAGCCCCTCTGGATTAGAGCTGACCACTTGGTACATAGTTGGATTCTCTATCATAAAGTATCGACAGTCCTCAGGTATCCCCACCAGACCAGTGAGGAGGGGTATTTGTAGGCATCAGACAGCACGGCAGTAGGTGGCAGTGTTTTAATCCTTTAGGCCTGGTGCCTGTCCCCTATTCTGTGCGCCAATTGAGTGCGGGTGAGGACATTGGCTCAGTGTCCTTTCATCTTGGATCCTGATTAGCATGCTGACAAAGTCTCAGAGCTGGAGAGCTCTTGCACAAGCCCCGAAAGAGCCCAACTGCCGGGTCATAAACCTGGGAGCTCCTCCCGGTGCACCTGAAACAAGCACTGACAACCCCTCTCTCCTCACGGGAAAAAACAATCTACAAAAGCAAAACTAAATCATTCTCCTCTGCAGTCTTTTTTTTTTTTTGAAATGGAATGAAATAATTCGACTTTTATTTGATGGTATCTCAATCCTCTGCAGTCTTTACTATAATCACAGGTACAGAAACAAACACCTCTTAAAAGGCCTTCAGCAGGGACCAGGGTGGGTGATGAGGTTCAAATCTCCGGTGAAAAGGAACTTGGGGAGCAGCTAAGTAACCAACACTCCCTGGGTCCCCATGGCACCATTAATTAACAAGGCCCAGCTATTTGGGCTAAGACGGCTCCTCCCCTCGAAGCGGGGGCTGCGGAGGCGCCTCCTCCTCCCCAGTGTCTTGTTTCTCCCTCTCCGCATCTCTCCACCTCAGAGGCACAATCATCTTCTTGGGCCCGTGAGGCGGGGGGCCGATGAGGGCCTCGATGTCCTCGTAGTTTATCACTTCCTTTTCCAGCAGGGCGCCTGCCAGCTAAGAGGAACAAAGGACAGTGTGTTAACCTTGGAGGACAAGGACGGACAAGAGCCTTTTGAGAGCAGAGCACTGAGGGGGGCCTCCCACCCACCCAGAAAGGGGTGTCTGTGAGTAGGATGCCCCCCGACAGGCCACTTTCCCAGGGAAGCAGCACACACAGGCAGCTTAAGCAAAGAATCACTCCCTGTCTCAACCTTGGAGATGATTTGCCAGCTGCAGCCTCATTAATTGTCTGTTTCCCTTCCAAATCTCTACTTATTTTGGGCAATCTTCGATTTCCTTTACCAAACAAGGTGTGGGTGTCTGTATGGGGGCAGGGACTAAAATGCAGAACATCCTCACTGGAACTTGAGAGGAATGCTGGCACTGAGGTGTAAGTTGGAGGACCTCACAGCTTGGGAAGGGGGCCTCTCCCTCTCTAGAGATGATCATGGAAAACATGCTGAATGAATCCTGGGAGTGTTCTGTACCATCACTCAATTACTGCTGCTCAGTCCCACTACAAGGAATGCTGCCACAGCCACTTGGACTGGTTTCTGTCATCCCCAAACTGGGTGACCACTTAATCTGTGTGACTGGTTTAATACGTTGCTAAGTTCCGTACCCCACTGATGATGTGAGTCTATCACGATCACAGTGCAAACTGAGGCAGGACATCTTCGGCCCATCACAGGGAGCTTGGGTCCTGCCCAGTGGCAATGACAATGCACATGTGTGACACCAAGGCATTTGCCAGCTAAGTTGTCAACAAGTACCAGTATATGGCTCAGCCCTAGCCGGTTTTGCTCAGTGGACAGAGCATTGGCCTGCGAACTGAAGGGTCACAAGTTTCATTCTGGCCAAGAGCACAAACCCAGGTTGCAGGCTCAATCCCCAGTAGGGGGCTTGCAGGAGGCAGCTGATCAATGGTTCTCTCTCTCATCACTGATGTTTCTATCTCTCCCTCTCCCTTCCGCTATGAAATAAATAAAAATATATTTATTTTAAAAAAAGTTTATGGCTCAGCAGGTAGAGTAGGCCCGGCATTCTACAATATCACACTCTGCTAGTGAGTGGCAACACTTGGAAAATCTAATATGCACAACTGCCAAGCTGGCTGTGCCTCACATCAACGCAACAGCCTATCAACCAAGAGCTGCCCACATATATAGGGACACGGTAACTTCACCTATGAAGTCAAGAGATAATCCCAAACTCATCACCCAGCTTATTGTGAGAACATCAGACCCATCTCCTAACACTGCCATTGCAGACAATCAACAACAGAGAAATGAGGAATTGTCCCAGCCAAGAGGAGCCCAAGGAGGCGTGATGATTAAATGTAAATGTGGTAGTGAGGGGGGTGCCCCTGCAGGAAAAGGACATTAGGAAAAGGCTAAGGAAATCTAGTTTATATATCAATATTGGCTCACTAGGTTCTAAAAATGCAGCATATTAATGGAAGATGTGAATAATAGGAAAAACTGGGTGTAGGGTATAAAAAAACCCGCTCTCTATAACATTTGTGACTTTTCTGTAAATCTACTAAAACTATTCTAAACTTAAAATTTTATTTTAAAAATTTCAGGAAAAGTTTGAGTTGAAAAAATATTAAATAAAATTGACCAAACATTAATATTTGCTGGCACTGGGTAATGGACACATGAGGGTTTATTATGTTCTTCTATTTTGAAAGAATTGGCTTGAAATGTTCATAATAAAATGCTAAAAAGTGGAAATATTATATTTCAGCTGAGCTGGGTGGAACACATATTTGGTATGTTGTTTTCTAAATTTCTGTGTTAATTTGAGCCCTGGCCAAGTAGCTCAGTTGGTTAGAGTGTTACCCTGATAGTCCAAGGATGTGGGTTAAATACCTCGTCAGGACACATGTAAGAATCAACCAATGAGTGCATAAATAAGTGGAACAACAAAAATATGTTTCTTTCTCTCTCTCCTCCCACACCTGTCTCTTTTTATTATTATTATTTTTTAATCTTTATTGTTCATATTACAGATGTTCCTCTCCCCCCCCTGTCGCTCCCCTCCACCAGGTTCCCACCCCACCCTCTGCCCTTTCCCCACCCATCATTGTCCTCATCCATAGGTGCACAGTTTATGTTCAGTCTCTTCCCACGCCCCCCTCTCCCCTTTTCCCCGAGAAACGTCAGTTCACTCCCCTTCCATACCTCTGATTCTATTATATTCAACAGTTAATATTGTTCCTCAGATTTTTTTTTTTTTTTTTGTTTTTAGATTCACTTGTTGATAGTTACGTATTTGTTGTTCATAGTTTTTATCTTTATTTACTTTCTCTTCCAAAAGAACCCCCTTCAGCAATTCATATATTTCTGGTTTGGTGGTGATGAACTCCTTTAGGTTTTTTTTATTAGTGAAGCTCTTTATCTGGCCTTCAATTCTGAGTGATAGCTTTGCTGAGTAGATTATTTTTGTCTGTAGGTTCTTACTATTCATCGCCTCGAATATTTCTTGACATTCCCGTCTGGCCTGCATGGTTTCTGTTGAGAAATCAGCTGACAATTGTATAGGTGCTCCTTTATAGGTAACTACCTGCTTTGCTCTTGCTTCTTTTAATATTCTCTCTTTGTCTTTTGCTCTTGGAATTTTAATTATGATTTGTCTTGGTGTGGTCTTCTTTGGATTCCTTTTGTTTGGAGTTCTGTGCGCTTCCTGGACTAATAAGTCTAATTCTTTCACCAGGTGGGGGAAGTTTTCTGTCATTATTTCTTTCAGTATGTTTTCGATATCTTGCTCTCTGTCATCTTCTGGGACACCCATAATTCTGATGTTGGTTCACTTGAAGTTGTCCCAGAGTTTTCTTACATTATCTTCAACTTTCTGGATTCTCTTGCCTTCTTGCTTCTGCGGAGGAGTGAGTTCTGGCTCTTTATGTTCCAAATCTTTGACTTGATTCTTGCGATATTCCATTCTGTTTTTATTACTCTGTATAATATTTTTTATTTCAGACAATGTATTCTTTATTTCTTGTTGATCCCTTATTATTTCTAGTTGATCCCTTTTCATATCCTCATAGGTCTCGTTTATTTTATCAGCCTTTTCTAGGAGATTCTTGAACAACCTTATAAGTGTGGTTTTGAACTCTACATCCAGTCGCTTTTTGTCCTCCATTTCTTTTGTTTGTGATCTATTTCCTTGTCTCGGCATTTTCGCAGCTTCCCTGATGGGGCGGAGTTTCAGGGTGAAGCCTACAGCCTTGGTTTCCGTCAGCCACGCCCTATGCGGCTCCTGAGTCTCAGTATTCCTCAGGGTCCTTCAGTACTCGCTGCAAGCACCTCTGAGAGTGAGGTGCCCTTGAGTTTCACCTGCTGCCAAACAGTCTAGTCTCTCCCCCACTGAGCCCGGAACTGGGGTGAAGTTCAGTTGGAAGTGGGGTTGGAAGTGGGGTTCAGAGCAGTCTGGGGCTTTTGTCTCCTTCCCGCCGGGGCAATCCCGTGGCACAGCCAACAGTCCATTCTCTGCGCGCAATGTGCGTGCCTCCGGGGGCTCTACCTTCCGCCGCTCTGCTGGGATTCCGCCTCACTGCCCAGGCTTCCTCTGTTTGAGCCTGGGTCCCCGGGGTCTGGCCTAGAACTGGGTTTCAGAGCAGTTGGAACTGGGGCTCAGCACAGCCGGAGCTTTTGTCTCCTTCCCGCTAGGGCAATCTGGCAGCAGACTCAACAGTCCGTCCTCTGCGCGCAATGTGCGCTCCTCCGGGGCTCTGCCTTTCGCTGCTCCTCGGGGTTCCGCCTTACAGCCCAGCTCTCTCTGTTTGAGCCTGGGTCCCCAGTGTCTGGCCTAGAACTGGGGTTCAGCGCTGTCGGGTCTGGGGTTCAGCACAGTCCGGAGCTTTTATCTCCTTCCCGCTAGGGAACACCAGCCAGGCCCTCAGCCGCCCCCTCCTCTCCAGCTCCATTCTCTCTGCGCACACCGCGTGTCTCCGTACCTTAGGCTTTTACAGCTTCTCTGATTTTCCTTCTGGTTTTCTCCTTGCTTCTCGTTATAGAATTTCCAGTCAGTCGACTTTCCTGTAGTTCTGGGTAATGTCCATTTTATATTTTAGTTGTATTTTATTGAAATTGTTGTTTGCAGCTGCGGTTAGGTGCTTACCTGTGCAGCCATCTTGGATTCTCTGTCTCTTTCTCTTAACAACAAAAAAAAAAATAATTCTGTGCTCATTTGAAATCTATATATATAAAAGGCTAATATGCTAACTGTCCAACCATCCAGGTAATGATGCCATGTAGCATTGCCAGCTTATTCCCCCTAGCGACTAGCCTCCTTGGAGTTTCTTTAGCCCAGGAACACCACTTGCTTTATGGCCAGGTGGAAACATTTTATACTTTAACCAAATGTGAAGTGTTTTCCCCTGCCTCATCTCATTTGCTCCTCAGAGAAGTCCTGGAGTAGATAGATAGGAGACTCAATGGAATCCTATTTTCTTTTCATTAGCCAGAAAATGGAGATTTAGAAAGCTTAGAAACTTGACCCGACTGAAAAGAAAGAAATGGTGGACTTTGGAAATGACTTTAGGTTTTCTCACTGCACAGAATATAGTCAAACACCGCTGCAGTTAAATATTTTACCCTTTGTTCTCCCTGAGTGATCTACAATAATAATCTGCTTCGTGTTGATATTTACTGCTGTGTTGCTGACAATTACCTGAAAGACAAGTTGGGGTGCTTCACTGGGTTGGAAAAAGTTTAGCTACGTCAGAAAGTAGGCCTAATGAAGCAAGTTTATTCTGTATCTGTAAAAGGCTAAGTTGACTCGCACATATATGATACATATAAAGCTCTTGCTAGCGCCAACTACACGAGTGTTTTGATCTGTCATTGTTGATCGTGAATTTGGTTGACACTTCTATTATAGAGAAAGGGCAAATAGTGATATTAAAATATTTCTTCTAATTAAATTCCTTTCAACGTGCATGAATCTGTGCACCAGGCCACTGGTATTCCATAAAAGCATGACTAGCTATGCCAGCACAACCTAGTAATAGCACCCATATACACAACTTCTGAAGAGACAGACAGATGCCTGGAGGTTAGAATGCACCAAGTCTTACCGCCTGCAGCTTGTCCAGATTGTCCTGCAGCACCTTCTCAGTGTGCCTGTAGGCCTTAGCCACCAGCAATTGAGCTTCCTGAGAATGAGAGAGGAGATCTGTAATGAGAACAGCTGAACACTATTCCCAGCACTATCTATAGGCTGGTTCTATCACCAAAGTCCTCCAAAGAACTGCAGTTTCAGAACCACAGCCTTTTGTCAGAAAAGGTCAGCTCCCAACAGTTTCTGGCCCCCATCCCAACCTTGGGAATGTCATAGTTCAGGATGCCTGCCCACAGCAGCCATTCCCACCTGTAGATTCCCCCTCCTCCCCCTCCTAAAGGATAAGGACCCTGTGTTTGTCCTCCATGTTTGTCCTCCATGCCCGCAGATGCCTCACATGCTCATGCACCAGGCCCATTAGAGCCTCCCCAGGACAGGCTGGACACTGTCCTGGCCCAATCTCCTTTGGACAATGAAGCATGTCCATGCTGGCCACAGGGATAATTGGCACTGGCTCTGTCATTTGATGCATTTATTTGATATTCTTCCCAATTTCCCATCATCTACAATTTCATCAGGAGCCACACAGGGGTCCTCATCCAAGAACACACACTAGGCAGTTCAGAGAGACCACAGAGGTCAGGAGAAACAGCCCAATGTGCAGGTTCAGGGACAGGGCATGGTGGGAGCCTCCTCTGAATACAATGACTTGCCCTCTACCACACTGTGGGGCTGAATAGAGCAGAGGCTGGCACAAGGGGCAGTGACAAGGCCTGTGAACTCACGTGATCCATCATCTGTTGGAGACCCTGGCTGAAGGGGCGCCGACCAATGCCTGCAAGGCCCTCCTGAGCCTCAGGGAAGGAGATGGGCCCAATGCTCGGTGCCATCCCAAACTGCTTCACCATGGAGTAGGCAATACGCGTAACCTTCCTCAGGTCGTCCTGCGCTCCTGGAGAATAGGGCCAAGAAAAGCTTTCTTCCTGGGAGTGCAGAGCCAGTGCACCCTGAGGACCCCACTGGCAAACACCTAGGCCAGACAGCAGATGCAGAGTTTCCAAGGGACAACTGTATCCTGATACTGTTCCTTAAGAGAGAGACTGGAAACTTAAAAATGCTCTTTTGTCCAAAAAATTATTCAGATCCTGGCCAGGTGGCTAAGTTGGTTAAAGCATCATCCTGATATGGCAAGATTGTGGGATTAATCCTCAGGTGGGGCACATAAAAAACAAAAAAATCAACCAATGAATGAAATGCAATGTATAAATAAGTAAAACAACATACTAATCTCTCTTCTCTCTTCTCTTCTCCTCTCTCTCTCTCTCTCTCCCCCCCCCCACCCTTCTCTTTCCCTATCTCTCTCTCTGCCACCCACCTCAAATAAATTAAGAGTAAAAAACTAAATGGGTTGCATATTTGCATTTGCTTGATAAGCAATTCTCCAGAACAAGTCCAGGTATACACGGAACACACTTGTCAACATGGAACCCCAATGCCAAGGATCAAGCAGGGCAAGTTTTCTGCCTGCTCTCTTGCCATCCCAGTGAAATAATAGCTTGAGAATAGTGAAGTTACTTGAATTACCAATAATTAGCCAAGTAAATGCATTTATAATCCACATGTATGTAAACGTTTTTGTAACAAATAAATTATTTTAAAAGTCTTGTTTATTTCAAATCTCCTTTCACCATATCTCATCTTTAAAAAACACTTAATGAACCCAGCCAGCATGGCTCATTGGTTGAGTGTCAATCTATGAACCGAGGAGTCATGGTCTGATTCCCAGGCAGGGCACCTGCCTAGGTTGTGGGCTCAATCCTCAGCGTGGGGTGTGCAGGACACAGCCGATCAATGATTCTCTCTCATCACTGATGTTTCTCTCTCTCCCCCTTCTCTGAAATCAATAAAAACATATTTTTAAAAGATTGTTTTAAACAAAAGCATACTTAAGGAAATGTAAATGATATTTGTATCCTACTATTCAAATTCTTTCATCAGATATAATGCCCCTCCCTCCTCCTTCCTCTATGCAAAGGGATAAAGGATGTTAAAACATTGTAAGAACTCCAGGTCCTGCAGGGCCAGCTCCTTACCAGAAGTGACCTTATTGAAGGAGATGGCCTCCGACACACGGCCACCCAGGGCCATGCACATCCTCTCAAACAGCTGCTCCTTGGTGAAGAGGTGCTGGTCTCTTGGGAGCATCTGAGAAAAGCCCAGTGCAGCGTTTGTCCGAGGTGCGATGGAGACCTGCAGAACGTCAGGTGGCCTGAGTTAGCAGGCAAGATGTGGGCTTTAAAGATGAAGGTGAGAAATATGAGATCTTTAATCAGAGGGTTTTAAGCTGTTAAGCAAATCTGTACTATCCCCATTTTTATAAAAAGAAGCTACCATCATTAAAGAGAATGGCTCACACATGTGGGTGTGTCTTTCTTGCACATTACTAGGTAAAAATGAAGTAAAGAACGGCCCAGACAGGAGCTTTTAGGTGAAGCAATCAGGAAGTGCAGGGACCAAGGCCACCAAGTAACCCCCATACCCCTACACAGTAGCCCTCTGACGAAGAGGTTATATGGGGGAAATGGAAAGTAACCTTGCCTTAGCCTCCTCACTGACCAACACCAGGTGTGTGAACAGCTTCAACAGGACAAGGCCTGTTCCTGAGCAACAAGGAGTGACTTGGGTCACAGGTGCCATTTCTGAGGGTTACAGTGGCAAGAGAACCACCTCACAGTAGCCAGAAAATTGAAAGGGGAAACTTAAAATCCAACTCTAAACTACAATTAAATGCTGGAAATAACCAAATAGCAATAAAAACTTATCTTTTCATAGCAAAGTATGAGCCTCTCAAGGGAGTTTTTCTCATTATGACTAGTTTATGACTTTCAGCCATCTAATAAAAAATTCTGAAAAGAGTTCATTTTAGTGATATTTGCATCATTGTAGATTTTTTTTTAATAAGTTTTTATTGTTCATATTATTACAAATGTTCCTTTCCCCCCCCCCCCCCCACCATTGCTCTCCTCCACCAGGTTCCCACCCCGCCCTCTGCCCTTTCCCCTCTCCCCATTGTCCTCATCCATAGGTGCACAGTTTATGTTCAGTCTCTTCCCACGCCCCCCTCTCCCCTTTACCCCAAGAATCGTCAGTTCACTCCCCTTCCATACCTCTGATTCTATTATATTCAACAGTTAATATTGTTCATCAGATTTTTTTAATTTCCTTGGTTTTTAGATTCACTTGTTGATAGTTATGTATTTGTTGTTCATAATTTTTATCTTTGTTTACTTTCTCTTCTGAAAGAACCCCCTTCAGCAATTCATATAATTCTGGTTTGGCAGTGATGAACTCCTTTAGCTTTTTTTTATTAGTGAAGCTCTTTATCTGGCCTTCGATTCTGAGTGATAGCTTTGCTGAGTAGATTATTTTTGGCTGTAGGTTCTTGCTATTCATCACCTTGAATATTTCTTGCCATTCCCGTCTGGCCTGCATGGTTTCTGTTGAGAAGTCAGCTGACAATCGTATAGGTGCTCCTTTGTAGGTTACTACCTTCTTTGCTCTTGCTTCTTTTAATATTCTCTCTGTCTTTTGCTCTTGGAATTTTAATAATGATGTGTCTCGGTGTGGTCCTCTTTGGATTCCTTTTGTTTGGAGTTCTGTGCGCTTCCTGGACTTGTAAGTCTAATTCTTTCACCAGGTAGGGGAAGTTTTCTGTCACTATTTCTTTCAGTATGTTTTTGATATCTTGCTCTCTCTCATCTTCTGGGACCCCCATAATTCTGATGTTGGTTCACTTGAAGTTGTCCCAGAGGTTTCTTACATTATCTTCAATTTTCTGGATTCTCTTGCCTTCTAGCTTCTGTGGAGGAGTGTCTTCTGGCTCTTTATGTTCCAAATCTTTGACTTGATTCTTGCGATCTTCCCTTCTGTTTTTAGGACTCAGTAAAATATTTTTTATTTCAGACAATGTATTCTTTATTTCTTGTTGATCCCTTATCATTTCTTGTTGACTCCTTATTAATTCTAGTTGATCTCTTTTCATATCCTCATAGGCCTTATCCATCTTTTCTAGGAAATTCTTGAAAAACCTTATAAGCGTAGATTTGAACTCTATATCCAGACGCTTTTTGTCCTCCATTTCTTTCTTTTGTGATCTATTTTGTTGTCGCATTTCGCAGTTACAGATGGGACGGGGTTTCAGGGTGGAGCCTGCAGCTTTGGCTTCTGTCAGCCCCGCCCTATGCGGGTCCTTCAGTGCTCGCTGCTGCCGGCGCCTCTGAGAGAAAGGTGCCCTCGATTTTCGCCTGCTGCCAAACAGTCTATGCTCTCCCCCAATGAGCCCGGTATTGGGGTTCAGTTCAGTTGGAAGTGGAGTTGGAGGTGGCGTTCAGAGCAGACTGGAGCCCAGGTCTCCTTCCCGTCAGGGCAATCTCGCGGCACAGCCGATCGTCCCTTCTCTGCGCGCAGTGTGCGCGCCTCCGGGACCTCCTTTCGCCTCTCCCCGGGGTTCCGCCTTACAGCCCGGCTCCCTATGGCTGAGCCTGAGTCCCCGGGGTCTGGCCCAGAACCGGGTTCAGAGCAGTTGGGGGCCCAGCACAGTCGGAGCTTCTCTCTCCTTTCTGCTGGGGAACGCCCGCCAGGCACTCGGCCTCCCTCCTCTCTGGCTCCGTCCTCTCCGCGCGCCGCGTCTCCGTACCTTGGGCTTTTCCAGCTCCTCCGCGCCTCCTTCTGGTTTTCTCCTTGCTTCTCGCTGTAGAATTTCCAGTCAGTCAACCTTCCTGTAGTTCTGGGCAATGTCCGTTTTATATTTTAGTTGTATTTTATTGAAATTGTTGTGTGCGGCTGCGGCTAGGTGTTCACCTGGGCGCAGCCATCTTGGATCCTCCCATTGTAGATTTTTCTGCATTAATATTTATTTTGTTGATAATGCATTAAAATGTTTATCTTTTTAAAACTATATATTTTTTATTGATTTCAGAGAGGAAGGGAGGAAAGAGATAGAAACATCAATGGTGAGAGAGAAATCACTGATGGACTGCCTCCTGCATGCCCCATACCAGGGATTGAGCCTGCAACTCTGGCATGTGCCCTGACCGGAAATCAAACCATGACCTCCTGGTTCATGTCGATGCTCAACCACTGAGCCACACTGGCCAGGCTTAAAATATTTAACTTGATTACTGAATATTTTAGTGTCCCATAAATATCACACTATAGGTAACTGTCCCCCCTGCCTCACCCTGGACCTAGCCCAAATCACCAACTTCAGTGGCTGCTGCATCCACTTATCTCTATTACAAAATAGTAGACTCAGCCCTCTGATAAGCATATAAAAGGAACTGGCCTGGTCAGCAGATTCCCAGACTAACAATCTACTTTTTGGCCCTGGCTGGGTACCTCAGTTGCTTAGAGCATCATCCCAATATGTCAAGATTGCAGGTTCAATCCCTGGTCAGGGCACTTACAAGAAGCAACCAACGAACCTGCCAGGCATGGCTCAGGGATTGACCGTCAACCTATGAACCAGGAGGTCACGGCTGTGGGCTCGATCGCCAGTGTGGCAACTGCCACATTGTTTCTGTGTTTGGGTCTAGGGAACTGCAATGCAGCTCTTCCTTGCCAGTGGAACCAAACCACACGTACAGGCTCCCAGTGACTCCACGTGCTTTGGTGGAGGGTACAATTACAATCCGTGCCCTCATCTTTACAGACTTGGCACCTGGCATCCCACACGTTTACATTTTTCTTAGTGGTCATTCAAGGACCTCATGATCACAAATTCACACATTTGGGGGGAACTATCAAATTTTCATCAAACTCACAAATGTCTAGAAAAATAGTGTTTTAAAAAAGTGTACTCAACTCACCTTTTTTTACGATTAGGAATCATTAGATCCACATGTTAGAGCTGATAGTAAACCTGACGGTTCTTAATTCCAAAACTGAATGTAGATGGGAAAACCCCAAATAGTCATGTGGATTTCAAATGGTCATGTCCATAACTGGACCCAACTGGTATAGAGGTCAGACCTCTTCTTGTCCTATGATTCCAAAGTGAGGGATCCTGCAGTTACCTTCCACCTGTTCCCACCCAGGTCAGCCTCAGGCTGTGCTTTCTCTTCATCAAGCACACACAAGTGCTGTTCCCACTCAGCTTTGTTGAAGGGACAGTTGAGTCCCAACTCTCCAAGACCCCAGACCCTCCCTGGATCCCACTCTCCGACACCCTACCTTCATCACAGCCTCAGTGTGCTCCAGCAGCCAGCCAACCAAAGCATGGCCTGACTCATGAAATGCAACAATCTTCTGCTCTTCCTTTGAGAGGATCTTGCTCTTTTTGGCCGTCCCTGAAAGAATGCCCAGGAGTTTAGGCCCACGAATAATCCTTTGTAAGCCTGCAGGAACCTTCCTTGCTTGGCCTTAAGTTGTTTACCATGTTGTTGCGAGATCCTCATGGGATGGTCACCTTCTGTGTTTCTGCCCCAAGCTGACCCCATCCACAACTATTGCTCCAATTCAAAGGGAAACTCATTAGGTATGAGAGGTGTTGGAGGGGGGCATGTTTGTTCCCACTTCCATAAATGCTGGAATAATCCAAACAGCTCCTGCAGACTTCCTCGGTGGGGCTGCAGGGCTGACAGGATTAGTATGGGCTCCACTCCAAATTCTAGGTTTCTTGTTGGCTTTTCTCCCAGAGTTAGCAGGGATAACTGCAGCCCCTGTGATTCTACAGTTTTTTGCCCTTAGTAGTTGACTATCTCTTGTCTTGGTAACTTTACCTTACATTTCACCTATTCAAATTGTTGCTAAGATTTCATTCACTGTCCCAAGTTTTCCAAACATCCTTAAGTTTCCATTTTATGCAAGCTCTAGGTTCAGGGTATTTATTTTATCATGCTACTAGAATCATCCACCGCATTTACCATGAGGCTGTAAATTCTTTCTAAGATGCACTGGCTGTGGCAGACGAATCATTTCAACCAGCGCTGAATATATGAGCCTCTAAACATGATATCACAGCCCCACAAGATGGGTTTTACCTGAACACAAACGTGTTCCGGCTCAGGCAGTCCACACCAAGTAAGGACAAGAGAGCTCCTCCTGTTCTCAGCACCCCATACAGGGGGGCGGGGCTGGGGGGACAGTATTCTATTAGTATTTTCTTTGGTTTTTCCTGCCTTGATAATATTACTGTAAGCTTATTAATTTCCGTGTAAAAATAAATAGCTTATACAAAACCAAAATTTATAGTAAGAAACAGCAACAATAGTTCCTTCTATTCACACAAATTTAATTCTTTCCCAAACTGCCGTCTGAAAACCTGGCAGCATTTGTCCTAGATTTTAACTCAAACTGGGGGTGATGGGAAGACGCTTTTTGTAGGGACAGCTTACGAAAGAGGGCTCACTAACTACACGCAGAGCCTGTGCTTCTCAAACATCTGTAGGGAGGACCAGTTTCCCTTTTTTAAACTTTCAGTTTCTTGGACTAGTGCTTTTGGTTTCAACCCTGTTCAAGGACAAGATGTACCATTCATGTCTGAACGTTGCCACATAAAGTTATGAAAGCTTCTAGATGCTTTCTCTCATTTTCAGTCCTACTCTCCTCAGAGAGGAGATCCCACTTTGAGCAATGATTAAGCACTGACAGAAGCACCCCAGCCCTCACTACCTAAACATCTCTCCCATTCATGTCCCAAGCAGAGCACAGGAAGAGCAGAGACAGAGTTAACTAACAGAGCACAGCCCTCAGCAGACATTCATTCCCTCTATCCTTAGGCAGCAGCAGTGCAGACCCGACAACATGCACAATGGCCTGTCCATTTGCAGTTGGCTCTCAGGCATCACATGATGGCTAATGGGGTGAGCCCCACTCACATTTGGGTTTGCAAGATCCGTTTACACTTCTACTAAAGGCTGGGTGCACGGATTCATGCACTGGTGGGGTCCCTCGGCCTGGCCTGCACCCTCTCACAACCCCGGACCCCTCAGGGGATCTAGGAGAGTCAATTTTGGCGCGATTCCCGCAGGCCAGGCCAAGGGACCCCACTGGTGCACAAATCTGTGCACCGAGCCTCTAGTATGCATATACGATCTTTGGTTAATCTCTTCCCACCCTCCCCCCAGCAGCAACCTAACCCATGGCCGTGTCCGTGAGGAATCAGGCTCCCTCCTCCCTCCTCTCTGGGTCCGGGTGGGGGAGTGAAGCAGCTCTGGGGCCAAGAGTGTCCTAGCAGCAACCCAATCCACAGCAAATTCTGCGAGGAATCGGGCTCCCTCCTCCACTAGTTGCAGTGTTTGCCCCCTGATGGTCATTGCGCATCGTAGCTACTGGGCAAATGGTCCAACAGTCAGACCGTTGCTTAGGCTTTTATATATATAGATTTAAAGAGTGTCTGCTGTTATGCAAATTTACAGTATTTTAAGTCCTAGTGTCAACCCCTGAATTTAAAAAAATACAAATACTTTATGTATTTTCTCTTGTCCAGTAATTCCCTGCTGATAAGACCCTCCATGTGACATCTAAGCTTGACCTACTCCCTCAGCCCCACCCTCCCTGAATTCGCTTTTGGCATTTATGCCTCATACCCGCAATGACGCGCTCCACAGCATACTCAAAGTTAAAAGTGTGAACAGACGTGTGCCCTTCTCGTGCAGCGTGCAGAGCAGCTTCATTACAGATGTTGGCGATGTCAGCACCTGTCAGCAAAACAGGGAATGGCAGGGGTGTTGGTTCTGCTCCCTCAGGGATGGAGAGGAGGAAAGGAAAGGAGAATTGCACAAATAAATGAAAAGGGGTCAAGGGATAAGGCATGATAAGGGCTGTGAGCCAGTGCTCCAGCTCTATTGGCCCCAAAGAACCACCTCTTCACATCCACTCTAACCTCTTTCAGTCTTTCTGCCTTCTCCACTGCTTTATTACACAACTATTATCAACACACTTTCATGTACCAGCTGGTGTTTTATTCCACCCTGTAATTCATATAAGCACTGATGGATAAAAAATTAGCCCTGACCAGGTTGTTCAGTGGGTCATCCTGTACACCTAAAGGCTGTAGGTTTGTTTCCTGGTCAGGACACATACCAAGGTTGTGGGTTCAATCCCTGGTCCAGGGAGCATACTGGAGGCAACTGATGGCTATTTCTCTCTTACATCGATGTTTCTCTGTCTCTCCCCCTTCCTCTCTTTCTCAAAATTAATAAAAACATCTTTGGATGATGATTAAAAACAAACAGTCCTGCTGGTGGGGCTCATCATCCCATCCACCAAAAAGTCACTGGTTCAGAGCAACAGAGGCCAGGCCCGGAGCAGCCAGGCCCGGAACAGCTCGCTCCTCGCCTGCCCCTGCCCCACAGCTGCCTCTCAGACATGGCTGGAAACTTTTGTGGGAACTTGAGGGTCTGCTGAATCAAGTGATGAAGGCTTAGATCTGGATGTATTGAGTTAGTATAGGGCTGGGGTGTTGATCTGTGTTGATCTGTGAGTGCCTTGGGTGGGGCCTGGATGAGGCTGATTGACCTATTTGGAAATGTCTTTTGTGTGAAATGTATCATTGGGCATGTGGTGGTATTATTGATATGAGAAAATGCTAAGTAACTGATTTATTATCTGAAAAGGGATTTACTATCGGGGAAAGGGAGGGAGGAAGAGACTGAACATAAACTGTGCACCTATGGATGAGGACAATGGGGGATGGGGAGGGGGCGGAGGATGGGGTGGGAACCTGGTGGAGGGGGAAGAAATGAGGAACCTTTGTAACAATATGAACAATAAAGATTGATTAAAAAAAAAAAAAAAAGTCACTGGTTCGATCCCAGTCAGGGTATATCCCAGCATTGTGGGCTTAGCCCCCAATAGAGGATGTGCAGGAGACAGCTGATGGATGTCTCTATCTCTCCTGCTCCCTTCCTCTCTCTCCAAAATCAATTAAAAAACAAACAAAATAACAAGATTTTCAGCCTTAAAAAAAAAAAAAAAAAGGAAGGAAAGAAATTAAAGGCTCTGTAGTATCCAAAAGATTCTAGTTAAGAAACTCAAAAGGCCGAAACCGGTTTGGCTCAATGGATAGAGCGTCGGCTTGGGGACTGAAGGGACCCGGGTTCGATTCTGGTCAAGGGCATGTGCCTTGGTTGCGGGCATATCCCCAGTGGGGGTGTGTGCAAGAGGCAGCTGATCGATGACTCTCTCTCATCGATGTTTCTAACTCTCTATCTCTCTCCCTTCTTCTCTGTACAAAATCAATAAAATATATATATATTAAAAAAAAAGAAAAAAAAAGAAACTCAAAAGAAAAAAATACATTGCCCTTTAAAATGAGAGCCTTATAGAAAAAAAAAAGAAAGAAAAAGAAAAAAAAATTTTTAATTTAAATTTTGATTTTGAGACAAACTGATGGCAAATGCTGGAAAGCAAAGTGTTCCCCCAAAATTCTTTATTTGTGATATCTGTGTCTACAAATAAAAACTGAGATGCTGAGGGAGAGCAGTGACAAGGCCTAACCATGGTAGCAGCTGGGGGAGCAGTGGAATCTCATGATTTGAGCTGGACAGGAACTGAAGAACCTCTGTGGGGATCCCTAAAGGCGGAACTTCTAGGATTGCCCATAGTGGGGACACACACATGGGGCAGTCTAAATGCAGAACCACTATTGGGTTTTCCACCCCTTGCGGAGGAGAAGTAAAGTGTTGTGCAATTCTTTTATCTCATGCCTGCTCTGCGTGCACAACCTCACTCTCATCCAGGCCGTGCTGCCCAGGGAGGGAATGGAGGGCACCCGGGGAAGCCTGCACCCACACAAGCAGGAAAGACCACCTGCCCTCTGCCCTCAGGATCAATAAGAACCGGCACCCATACCGCTGAACCCTGGCGTGAGCTCTGCCAGACGCTGGGAGTAAAAGCTGCTGGCCTGGGTCAGCTTCAGGCTCTTCAGGTGCTGCTCAAAAATCTCCCGCCTTTCCTACCAAAGACAGGGGAGAAGGATACAAGTGTGGGTCAGCACATCTGCCACGCAGATAGGAGCCACCAGGGAGGCACTCTCCGGAGTTCCTCATCATTAATCACAACCATAGTTTGTGAAACCAATTTAGAGCTGCAAGCAGCCTTACAAAATGAAAAGAAAAAAAAAAAAAAGGAAACAGAATAGAAATTAAAGTGCATCAAAATAACAGTTATTATGTGGAGCCTTTGATTCATGCATTTGTAAACAATGTAAACATTTCCTACAATCAGGAAGATGGACAGCCACTCCTCTAGAAGCTATCAGAGGGTAGCCTCAATCCACTTCTTAGTCTGAGTGGTAATTTGAGAGACGAACTCACAATGAGCACTGGGTGTGCCATAAGCCACACCCCTGTGCCCCCATGTGTGTACCTACAGACACAGTAACCAACTAACCAACTGTTAGGTTCACCCTCCAAACCCTGTCCCTACCCATGGTGGTCTCCACCACATGTGATCCTTTCATCACTGCATGCTGGATTCCTGCTTCCTCAGGGGCCACCACACCTGGCTATACAGAGGTGGACATCCACAGGCCTGACATGGAGGCTGGTGGAGCCAAAGATTCAGATCTCCCGCCCCTTCCCAACCTGCTTTCAGGGCAGCTGCAGAGCTCATGTTCCACAACTATGAGGCACCAAGGATTTGAGCTGGTCAGGATGAGAATTCTGAGGTTCTCCAAAAAATATACTACAAAACTCAACTGAGACATGTTGATTCAACCCCAGATACTTAAGGATAAAGGGGAAAACAATGTGGGGGGAGAAGGGGAGAGAAAGAAACAAAAAACAAGCTGCAAAACCATGAGAAGAGCAGTGAGCCAAAGAAAATCTGGAGAGACAAGCACCGGAGGAAATCAGCAGCTGCATCTGACCAAGGAGAGCAGCCTCAGGCCACACTGACCTGCAGTGTGGGGAGGTCGATGAAGACGTGTCGGTCCAGTCGGCCTGGTCTCAGGAGAGCATTGTCCAAAATGTCAGCTCGGTTGGTGGATGCCAGGACGATGACATGGTCAGTGGTGCCCATTCCTGAGAGACAAAGAGTGGCCTTTATGGTAGGGGTTCCCAACACTGTGTCCTTCCCCTGAGGTCCTAGACACTGGACACATTTCCTACCAGGGTCCACGAGAGTCTATAAGCACCCACCCAGGAGTGATCCTGCTCTGTGAGCTTTCTACCAAAATCATCACAAGAGCGAGAACTTGCCAGATTTACTTCCGGAGGCAGAACTGCAGATGGAAACCTGGGCTCTGCTGTCCACAGCCACCTTCTAGGTCAGGGGTCTTCAAACTACGGCCCACGGGCCACATGCGGCTCGCAGAGGAGTCTGATCCGGCCCGCCAGGTTTTTTGGGCAGTGAGCGCAGCCGAGGTGTTACAGTAGGAATTAGAAGTTCATATAGTCCGGCCCTCCAGCTCTCTGAGGGACCGTGATCTGGCCCCCACTTTAAAAAGTTTGAGGATGCCTGCTAGGTCCACAAAGCACCCACGGAGGGAACTGCTAACAGGGTGGACCCCAGGAGCAAGGGCCCTCCTCTTATGCTTCATCACTGCATTTTCTTGAGCCAAAGTGACTACTCCAGGAAATTCTGGAATATTCTACCTCTAACAGTTGGTCTGGGTTTTTTGTCCCAGGTTTCTCACATGAGAATTTAAATATATATATATTTTTTTATTTATTTTTCACAGAGAGGAAGAGAGAGGGATAGAGAGTTAGAAAACATCGATGAGAGAGAATTATCGATCAGCTGCCTCTTGCACACCCCCTACTGGGGATGTGCCCGCAACCAAGGTACATGCCCTTGCCCGGAATCGAACCTGGGACCTTTCAGTCCGCTGGCCGACGCTCCATCCACTGAGCCAAACCGGTCCCGGCCTCACATGAGAATTTAAAAGCAAGTCTAGAAAGGGTCCCAATGAATTACTCAGATCTACAACTGCAAAAACACATTTATGAAGCAACTGAGGACTCTGAACCTCATTAGATGGTATGAATAACTTATTTTTAACTTACATTATATGATATTCAGAGCATTTACATTCAGAGCATGAAGGTTCAGAACTTTGGGTTGGCTTTAAAATAACACACTGGGGCCCACCTGGCACGGCTCAGTGGTTGAGTGTCGACCTATGAACCAGGAGGTCACAGTTTGATTCTGGTAAGGGAACACACCTGGGTTGCAGGCTCAATCACCAGTATAAGGTGTTCAGCAGGCAGCCGATCAATGATTCTCTCTCATCATTGATGTTCTATTTCTCTCTCCCTACCTCTCTGAAACCAATACAAATATATTTTAAAAAATAACATTCTTGCCGAAACCGGTTTGGCTCAGTGGTAGAGCGTCGGTCTGGGGACTGAAAGGTCCCAGGTTCGATTCCGGTCAAGGGCATGTACGTTGGTTGCGGGCACATCCCCGGTGGAGGGTGTGCAGGAGGCGACTGGTCGATGTTTCTCTCTCATTGACATTTCTGGCTCTCTATCTCTCTCCCTTCCTCTCTGTAAAAAAAGCAATAAAATATATTAAAATAAATAAATAAATAAATAACATTCTAGCTGAAACAGGTTTGGCTCAGTGGATAGAGCGTTGGCTTGCGGACTGAAAGGTCCTGGGTTCAATTCCGGTCAAGGGCATGTACCTTGGTTGCGAGAACATCCCCAGTGGGGGGGGTGTAGGAGGCAGCTGATCGATGATTCTCTCTATCCCTCTCTCTTCCTCTCTGTTAAAAATCAATAAAATATATTTAAAAAAAAAATCTCTGACTCCCAGTCTCTGGGGGCTGGTGTCATTTAAAAGAAAAAGAAAAAATTCTGAGTTTTTTTATTGTATTACCATGAGATCTTGGGCATCCTTGTTCCTTGATGTGTAAGTTTAGAATTGTATAAACTTGAGGCTCATGTGACAAATGTAAATATGCCAAATGAGGCTCCTGTTGGCAAAATGATTTTGAAGAGTCCTTTTAATATGCTATTGCCACAAGGCAAATTTGAGTGTCTCCTGCTTGTATGCATGTGTTAGGCATATAGAGAAGAGCTACAAGGAAATGCACAGAAATGAAAATATTAAGGTGGTGGGATTATGAATGATTTTTTTCAGTATTTTTAACTTAGTGTTATGATGTTTTTTATAATAAAAATTTGAATGCTCTTATCACCTATAATTAATTAATTAAATAAAATAACATAACATTCTGGGAAGAAGAGAGGGAGGTGTGCATGGACTACGGCTGGACAAGCACAGGCAAGACTGAAGCTGACCTGAGACATGGGTGCTCAGTGTACACTTTTGCTTTTGTGGATGTTTGAAAAATTCCATACTGCAAAGTGTAAAAAATAAAGATGCCATGACATAACTTTTCCCAACTTCAAAAAACTAATAAAATGACATAGACAGATACAATTTTAAACCACCCATTAAGTCTTTTAACAAAAGTAAAATTCAGAAGAAATATTGCAGACTTAAACCCTGAGAGCATGGCAGGCACTGCAACCTCACAGCAGATTGTCGTTTGCTCACTCCAGGCTCCCATGACAATGCGAGGGACCCAGCCAAATGTACCAGCTCAGGGAAGGCAGCCACCTCATTGAGGAGCTGACACCAATGTCACTGAAAAGCAGCTACCAGGACAGCCCAAACCACACGCCATCCCAAGAAAACCACTCCACAACTTCAAAGAAACATCTCCCAGGTATGCGACATCACTCTCATCTGCGCTGTGGAGTGCAGTAAGGCAGGATGCCACGATGACTCCAGTCCTGTTCATGTGCCAAGGGTGGAGAATGCAGAAAGGTATACACTTCGCTGGACAAAGGTGATGTCTTAAAATCACTCTGACTTGCAAAACCATTCAGAAACAAGAGCAAGTCCTACCTGGTTTGGCTCAGTGGATAGAGCATCTATGCTGGGACTCAAGTGTCCTGGGTTTGATTCTGGTCATGGGCACATGTCCGGGTTGTGGGCTAATAACCAGCAGGGGGCGTGCAAGAAGCAGCCAATAATTGGTTCTCTCTCATCACTGATGTTTCTATCTCTCTCCCTCTCCCTTCCTTTCTGAAATCAATAAAAATCTATCTAAAAAAAAAAAGGGGGGGGGGGCAAGCACAACCCAACAGACAAGCCAACTCTCTGCTCCATTTGCTCACACTCCCATTTAAGGAAAAGTGAAACGCTAACATGGAAAATGACAAGCGGCAGGAGGAAGGCAATCTGGCGAGATGCAGCTTCACTCCCCAAAGACTCCTCAGAGTTAGGGGGACCCTATGCAATTCATTCCAGAGTGCTAGTTGGGAAGGCCTGCCAGGGTTCACCACTCATATTTCTGAAATGTGTTCCTTCCACAGGTCAAGGTTGTAAATACCGAAATCTGAAGTTATACACACAGGAACAAAATGTTGAAAAATAGCAGGAGGAGTGGCTGTAGAAGAAAAACAATAGCAAGGCAATGCTCTGTCAGTGAGCTCCAAGCAAAAATGGGAGTAGTGACACTCAAAGCTCTGCCATCACCCAGCTGGTACAGCTCAGGGGTTGAGCAGGAGGTTACCGTTCAATTCCCAGTCAGGGCACATGTATGGGTTATAAGCTCAATCCCAAGCAGGGGGCATGCAGGAGGCAGCCAATTGATGATTTTCTCATCACTGATGTTTCTATCTTGCTCTCCCTCTCCCTTTCTCTCTCTGAAAAATCAATAAAAACATAATGAAATAAATAAAGCTCTGTCATCAAAAGTTACCTTGACCTCCCTGCATAGCAAACCCCTCACTCCAGGGCCTGGTTTTATGGACCTCAGAGTGTAGATCTCCTAGCGTTCTGTTTTTGAAACTTTATATATATATTTTAAATATATTTTATTGATTTTTTTTACACAGAGGAAGGGAGAGGGACAGAGAGCTAGAAATGTCAATGAGAGAGAAACATCGACCAGCTGCCTCCCACACGCCCCCTACCGGGGATGTGCCTGCAACCAAGGTACATGCCCTTGACCGGAATTGAACCTGGGAACTTCCAGTCTGCAGGCCGATGCTCTATCCACTGAGCCAAACCGGTTTCTGCTTGAAACTTTATATTTTGATGACCCTAGCCGAATAGCTCAGTTGGTTAGAGCACCATCCTGATATGCCAACATGAAATATATTAGGTGAGCACATATAAGAATCAACCAATGAATGCATAAATAAGTGAAATAACAAGTCAATGTCTCTCCCCCCTGCCCCCCAAAACTTTTTTAAAAAGAATTTTGACATAGTTGTAGATACACAGCAAATTGCAAAAATAGTGTAGAGAAGTCCTCCACCCAGTTTCCTAGTGGCATGTTGAGTAACTACAGAGCAATGTCAAAACCAGGAAACCCACATTGCACAGTCCACAGGCCTTATTCAACATCAACTGTCTGATATGCACCTGTTTCTCGGTGTGCCTCATTCTCTGCAATTTTATCATGAGATTCCTATAATCTCCACGTTAACTCAGGTGTATTCCACCATCATGAAGACCTCCCTTTACAGTCAAACCCCCTCATCTCCCACCTTTCTGACCCCTAGTAATTACTAATCTGTTCTCCACCTCTAGAATTTTGTCATTTTGACATTCTCATATAAGTTGAATCCTACAATATGTATCAGTTAGAGGCTGGTTTTTTTCATTCAGCATATTTTCCTTGAGATCCATCCAAGCAGTTTTGTATAAGGACAGTTAGTTTTCTTTTGTAATTCTTTTTTTTTTTTTTTTTTTTTTTTTAAAGAAGAAAGGAGAGAGGGAGAGGGAGAGGCAGAGGGAAAGAGGGAGGGAGGGAGGGAGGGAGGGAGAGGAAGGATAAAACATTGATATGCTAGAGATACATTGGTTGGTTGCTTCCCGTACATGCCCCAATCAGAAATGAACCACAGCCTATGTATGTCCCTGGCCCTGGCTGGGAATCAAACCTGAAACCTTGCCCATCCAGCTTGGCTCAGTGGTTGAGCATCAACCTATGAACCAGAAGGTCACGGTTTGAATCCCAGTCAGGGCACATGTCCAGATTGTGGGCTCAATCCCC